CCTGAACCCTGAACCCTGAACCCGAGCAGCACCGAGCCTTCTCTGCCTCTAAGGTCTTGCCCTTGCCATCCGGACCATGAAGAGCTTTGTCCGAGGGCCCAAGGATTCTGCGGTTGTTGCGATGAAGTTTAGGGTTTAGGGGTTTACGGTTTAGGGTTTAGGGTTTCCCCTCATAAACTGTCATAAACCTTTCTTCCGGATCTCTTGAGCCACCCAGCAGACACTCTGAGATTACACGTCTGTCCTAAGCCCATATGTTACCTCCCCGACTTACCCCCATGTGGTTCCCTTGTCGTACCCACGAGAGTCTCTGTATGTATGTATGTATATATATATATATATATGTATTTGTTTATTTATTTTCTTTATTTGTTATATCTATGTATGTATATATATATATATATAGTTCCCTCACCCTCACATTATCCCCACATAATCACTTCCGCAGTACCCAGATTGTGGCGAGAGTGAGCTGGTGTATTTGTGTGTACTGCACGGTGGTGCTGTTTTGATTTCGGGATTTACCGGCAAGGCTTTGTCTACCTCATGGTAGAGTTGAGGCTGCGCAAGTAAGAGATGTGAGAGTGTGGGGTTGAGCTTGGTAAACCCTAAACCCTAAACCGGGCTTACTGTGAAGGCCTTGTGAGATTGCGTTTGAGGTCTCGTGGTCGGGTAGAGCGATGCAAAAGCAAGCTCTGGTATGCAACTTTTGGGGGTGTTTCGGGTTCCGGATTCAGTCCATGCTCAGAAAGCAACCAAGACAACCTCATTCTAGCTGCCTGCATCCACCCGATGGGGTTTTGAATTCCAGAAGCTTATATAGCTTCATGATTACCTAGCCCTAAAGCTCAGAACCGGTGCCCTGAGCCCTACCTTCCTGATGCTTCGGGTCGAGAGCATCTCAGGTCACGACAACTGGGGCACTTGGTGCCAGATCAAAGCTTACGGGTCCTGTCCTGTGCAGCTTGCCCGAAATTTACTTAGGCTTTAGGGTTTTAGGGTTTAGGGTTTCAGGCTTAGGCCTTCAGGGCTTTAGGGCTTTTAGGGTTTAGGGTTTTAGGCAGGTCGAGGATCTGGCAGGGCAAAATATTACATAGGGTTATTTTCTCTAACAATACTTATAGCCCCAACTGAGGAAGCCTGCTTGACAAGTGTCCCTGGATTAAGTACAGGTCTAACCCTCCCGAAGCCTATACACTTTAGGGTTTAATGCCAGGGAATAGGGGCGGAACTCTAAACTCGAAAATCCTCACTTATAAGCCGCATGTCGTTGCTGTCGCATTCGGCGTTGCGTGAACTTGTTTTCTGTTTGGACCCTACAGAAGTTGCCTGTATCAGGGTCACCAAAATGGGCAGGGCCCAGGTATACTCTGACTTTAGGGTTTAGGGTTTAGGGTTTAGGGTTTAGGGGAATCTTGAATCCTCTTGCAGCTATGCCTTTGCATTCCAAGCCCCATGTCCTGAGCCTATGGACAACAACAAGCAGGGGGCCCTCAACAACCCCGGAACGACCCGCGTCGAGCCCCTCATCAAACCTGCATAACACCTGAATCCCACATCCCTGAACCCCAAAACGCCTAAGACCCCTAAACCCTAAACCCCCCCAAACCCTTAAAACCCCTAAAACCCTAAACCCCAAAACCCTAAACCCTCAACCCTAAACGAAGAAGCAAGTCAAGAGCCTGCGACTTGAGACGATCTTGTCCTGCGCAAGGCACTGCACCACGGATCAGCCTCTTGACACGCACATCTCCGGAGTTGTGCCAAGGGCCCACACGGTTTTGGGGGTTTTTAGCAGGTGCTTATACCGGGCATGTACCATTTTATTTCATAGGGTTGCACCTTGGCTCAACCTGGCGATTTGTTGAAGTTTGGATGGCAGCTCGTAGCCTGAAAATTGAGCAAGACATCAATGGGAACAATCGGTGTAGGGTTTCGGGTGTTTAGGGGTTTTGGTGTAGGGTTTAGGGTGTAGGGGAGAGGGTCTTCGATGGGCCCGATTCTAACGGGCGCAGGGTGGAGGGGAGGCATACGAAAGGCCATCGATCCGACGTTATTTTTTCCCGCAAGAAGGAAGCCCTGAAGACTACCAGGACCCTGCTTGTACCATCAAACAGGGGTATATGGTCCCAAACAATGGGTATCTCGGGTCTGATAGAGGTTAGATGGATCTAAAAGTGGTTGTACTAGGGATCCTGAAATCAGGCCTGAAACTGTAAACCCCTGACCCTGAACCCTTAACCTTAACTCCTCTACTTCAGCGACAGCTATCACCGCCACCACCACTTCTGTGACGACTGCGGTCAGTCTCGATTTCAGTAGTCCACACTGGGGAGGTGTAATCTTTCTTCGTTCGAGCACATCTCTCACAATTGGGTAACTACACAGTACAACCCGGTTGAAGCTGCACAGACCTGTGCATGGTGATTAGCTGTACCGGTGGAGGTGGGTCAGCAAATTCGATTCGATGGAGTGTTGGGTTTAAGATCCATTCCCGAAACCCTAAACCCTAAACCGTATTCCGCTCTAGCATCGTAAGCCCTGACGAACGTGAGGATGGTTTGCTGGGTCGCGCCCTACGACGACACTCGGCACTGACCACCATTTCGGTTTGGAGTTCGTGATGTAGAAGGGACAACAGGCTTATGCTGGTTGCACAGTGTGTTTAAGGTATGGATGGGATGGATCCAGGGTGGATACCCCAGCTCCCGCACCCAGCAAGGACCCAGTATGCCAGGCGCACCCAGCGCCCGCCCAAGTACCCAGTACTCAGTGGGACCAGTACCCAATGCCCAGTGCCTATTCAGTGTCCAGTATGCAGTACCCAATACTTGGTACTTACCCAGTACCCAATACGCAGTATCGGCACCTCCCAGCAGTACTCAATACTCACATCCCAGCCTCTTCGCGCAGCGCCCAAGCACCCAAAACCCACTAATCCCTAAAGCCTAAACCCCTAAACCCCAAACCCCCAAACCCTAAACCCGAATCCCTAAACCCGAATCCCTAAACCCTCAAACCCCAACCCCCAACACCCCAAACCTAAGCCCTAAACCCCAAGCCTGGCCTGAGCCAAGCCCAGTCAGGTTTAGGCTCAGGGATCGATTTCAGGATTCAGTGTTTAGAGCTTCGGGCTCAGTGTTTAGGGTGCAGTGTTTAGGGTTTAGGGCTCAGTGTTTAGGATGGATCGATGGATAGATGGAATGATGGATTGAATAAGTTTGGGTGATCACAGAGCCTCGGTCATCCTATGGAAGGCATGTTCTGTTGTGCAGACAGTGAGTGGCATAGCATTCAGAACCCACCCAAAAAATCACGCCTCGTAGGACACTCTTCCTGTTGTTGCTGGCTCTTGTTGTTTTGGGATGGAGAAGTGTCCGACAGGACAGAATCTCGTCATTGTCGCAGAAAATCTCCTCATGTTGGGCGGGGCTGGTAGAGAGCAAAAACCAAAAAGGAGCAAGGTTTCAATGATGTATTCCACCATACCCACAAAAATTGAGTTGAGGCGCATAATGTCAGGTACTGCAGATGTTCTTATGTAGCTCATATTGCTTTCCGAAGCGGGGCCGAAAGCTCTCTTGAGCAGGAGGAGTACTGCAAGTCTCAGATATCGGGTGCCAGACACGACCTTGGAAGTCCAAGGCTTGAAGCCCTAAACCCTAAACCCTAGCCCCTGAACCCTAAACCCTAGACCCTAAACCCCAAACCCTCAACCCTAAACTGGCCCTCAACTGAGCTGGCTTTCTGATGAAGGAGCTCTTGGGTCTCTTGTGGGAACCTGATCCCAAAGTGTCCATGTGGGTAGTTGTCAAAATTATGGTCCCTTGTGGGGTACCCTAAATAATAGGTGCCGTATTATAATAAGGACCCAAAAAGGAACCATAATTTTGACAACCACCCATGTAGCTTTGTAGTATCGACCTAGGCTTAAACGGGTGTCTTATCAACGTACTTGCGGGCCAAAGTAGTATATGTTATCCGGCTACACATACATGGACCCTGATAGCAATATGGCTGTGTTATTTTGGGGATGGGATAAGGCCCCACACCTCAACCCTAAACCCTAAACCCTAAATCGTCTGCACAGTCTGATGGCAACATCCTCTACGACACCGCCTGGACGGAGACCTGCGCCAACATCACGGATGGTGCGCAGACTCAGCAGTCAATTTGGGTTTAGGGTTTGGGGTGTAGGGTTTAGGGTTCGGGCTTCATGAATCCAGGGTTCAGGGCTTGCATGATCCTTAATGGTTTATTCTGACATTATGAGTTGGGTAATTTGCTTTTCCTTTTTTGTGGGTGTGGTATGTATCTTCCTGGTACGGGTGTTTGTTGCTCAGGGCGCGCATGCCTCAGGAACATCTCTGAGCTTGGCGTGTTATTCGTATGGTTCGTAGGTATTAGTATTATTCGTAGTCTTAGTGTTATGATAAAGACCCTGCAAAAGGAGCCCCCGACCTGGAGAACCCACAAATCACGAACAAATCTTCAGCCCTACGATTAGGTTGAGTGACTTTGAGGTTTAGCCCAACAGCTTATATACCTGGTTTGTGCTTCATAAGCATCTGGGCCTCAGCGTATCAACGGTTGGGGGGGGGGGGGGGGGGGATTCTGGAATCTGGGCTTCCGAGTCCGAGTGATTGCGCTTTAGACTCCTGTTGAGCATTCCATCCGTATAACCCTGAGAACCCTAAACACCCTAAAAAACCCTAAAACCCTAAACCCTAAAAACCCTAACAACCCTAAACCCTAAAACCCCTAAACCCTAAAATCCCTAAACCCTAAACCCAAAGCCTTAAACCCTAAAAAAGAACCCTAAACCCGTACGGGACCCCTGAGCCCTCAAATTTAGGGCTTCTCTCTTTGAAGTTTCGTCATGGTCAATACCCCAGTAACCTCTAAACCGTAAGCCGTAAAAGGGGCCCCCTCTCGTCTGAAGCTACGGTCTGGTCGTTTGGAGCTGAACGATGGACACACGGGCGTGCAGGCTGGAGACCTGCGAGAAAAAAAAACGGGCACTACATGGCAGAGTGCGCATTCAAGAATGTCCGCGTATATGGCCCCTTTATACTTCTACGACGTCATAGTCGAAAACCTCGATTATTCTAGGTATTGACGCCCCATACCAGAATCCTGAAAACCTTGTAAAGCATTTCCAAAGACTCGCTTCAACAGTATTCTACTTGTTGAGGAGCCTACATTAGGGGTATTTCTGCTTCAACGATCGAGACATCTTCAAAAGCCCGTCAGGCTGTCCTTGCAACGCACAGTGGGAGAGGCAGTGCACCAGCCACTTGGCTTGTTCTTTGGATTTGGGGTTTTCAGGTAGGGTTTTAGGCATGAGGGGTTGGGCTTGTATGTACCTGTTGGGGTTTAGGGTTTAGGGTGTGGGATTTTAGAACCCTTTCTGCCATCCAACAGCTAACCAAGTCTCCTCCGAATCGCAAGGCCAAAAATATATAGACCTTCGAGGTTTCAGGGTGATGAGCCCTTTGTTCTTGCGGTGTAATTGGGCTTGGAGGGTTTAAAGGGGGTTAGGAGTCGTAATCGAGTCTACATGGCTTTCAAAGAGGCATTGGTGTTTAATAGGGTTCAGGGCCGAAGTTTTGAGGAGAAAGGTTCAGGTAGAGGTTGGTGTTTGAGTTTGCAGCATACAGTTTAGGGTTGAAGGTTTAGGGTTTAGGGCTTTCAGTTTGGGGTGTACCTTAAACCCAAATAACCTCCCTTTTTGAGGACTTATGTCAAGCAGTCATGATAAGTATCCCTAAACAGGTAGGTTTTATAGGGCCCAGGTAGGGCTTAGCTTTTCTCCCCTAAGTTCAGGGCTCAGGGTGCTGCCTAAACCCTAAACCCTAAACCCTAAACCCTAAACCCAAAGCCACGCAGAAGACCGCCACCTGAGGCCATGGCTACACATACTGCGAGTCGATCTTCGGCAGCTGTGCCTCGATGTGAATTAGGGTTTAGGGTTCAGGGTTCAGGGTTTAGGGTTTAGTGTTCAGGGTTTCGGGTTTAGGGTTTAGGGTTTAGGGTTTAGGGTTTAGGGTTTACGGTTCAGGGTTCAGGACAAACCCTGAAACCGACACCCTGAATCCGAATTATTATAATCCCCATTATTGTAGTTTTTGAGGTTACCTTATACGATCCTAAACAAAAAAGGGAGCTGTAGGTAAACCCATGTAAACCCTAAAGCCCTAAACCAAAAAGCCCTAAACCCTAAAGCCCCAAATCCTAAAGCCCTTTGCGCTAAGCCCACCCTAAGCCCAAAACCCTGAACCCTAAACCCTACCTTCGACTTAGAACCTTACCCCGAAGCCCTGAACCCTTAACTTTGGGCTTTCTGGCGGATCGGATTCAAAGGGCCGACAAAAAAGACGGCTGTAGGGTTTAGGGTTTAGGGCTCAGGGTTTTGGGGCTTAGGGTTTTGGGTTTTGGGTTGAGGGCATTAGGTTAGGTCTTAGGGTTTGGGGCTTACGCCCTGTAGACCCTAAACCCTGGGCCCTAAAAGCCAGAGAGTCGCTTTTGAGTGCTCCCGGTGGCTCAAAGTGCGGAGGTGAGGCCTGAGGCCACAAAAACCACCAAAACCTTAAGACCCAAACCTTAAACCCTGGCCCTAAACCCTAAACCCCAAACCCTAAGCCCTAAACCCTAAACCCTAAGCCCTAAACCCTAAACCCTAAACCCCTAAACCCTAAGCACTAAACCCCAAACCTGGAGCCCAGATCCCAAGTTTAAGCCAACAGCCCCAAGCCCTGAACCCCCCAATTCTAAAGCAACCCTATAAGCCGCCCTTTGGCCCGAAAACCTGAAATCAAAGGATCGCTAAGCTCCACCGGGTCTCGGTGGTTCGGTGGTTTGACAAGGTTTAAGAGGGTTTTATTCTCGAGATACAGGATTCACAAGCGTTTCATAAGGGCTTAGGGTTACTAAGGGTTTCAGAAGGCTTGTTGAAACTGCCTGGGTTTTAGAAGGGCTTTCGGGTTTGATACAAGGTATGTGGCTTAGGGTTTGAGGGTTTGTGGAGAGTTTTCCGGGGGTCATGTCAGGAATTGAAGCAAAAAAGCCTTACAAGCTAGACATCCTACACCAATCCCTAGCCTAGCCCCTAACCCTAGACCAAACCCCATGCCGCCGTTGAGGGCATGGGACGTTTGATTTAGCGTTCTCGTTGTAGCAGCTCGGACAGAGCGCCTACGGCAATCCTTCAAGAACACGTACAGTAACCCGTACATCCTAAACCAACCTGAATGCGAACGCCGAAAGCTTGAAGTTCAAGTACAGGCAGCACCCAAATACAAGAAACACGCTTATGTAGTAACCCTAAATCCCTAAACCCCTAAACGCCTATACCCTAAACTCCTAAACCCCAAAACCCTAAACTCCTAAACCCTAAACCCTAAACCCTAAACTCCTAGACCCTAAGCCCACTTAAACACTGACTTTTGCGGAGCCTGACCCGGGAGGCCCTGTCGATTGCGGTGATGCTGACACGTGCTACCACTACAACTCAGGCAGGGTTTAGGGTTGAGGGTGTAGGGTTTAGGGTGTGCGGGTTTAGGGTTTAGGGTTTAGTGGTTTAGGGTTTAGGGTATAGGGGGTGTTTGGGTGTAGGTGTTTAGGGCACACGTTTTTACCCCCTGAGCTTGGGTTTCTAAGGCCGCAAGCAGCAAGCTGTCAGAGTTTAGAGCTTTCGGGTTGCGGGTTTCAGGCGTCCGAGTTCAGAGGCTTTCCACATGGGTAGTTCTCTTAAATAGGGTCCCCAATATAGTACGGCACCCTTGTAGAAAGGACCCCGAAAGGGACCCTAATTCAGAAAACTACCCACATCTTTAAGCCTCTACACCCTCGCCTTCGATGCTCAAGCCCTAAACCCAGTTGAGAAGATGTCCGCACCCTTTGAACTACAGAGGTCTTGAGTTCACCGCCACCCGAACCTGCCTTGGATCTGGTAAGAGTGGCATTTACATCATTGGCATTGGCCGCGGTAATGTACCTTAACCTACCAAAGCCTACTTTTTTTGTAGGGTCCCTATACATGTCATATTAGGGTTTATAAGAAGAACCTACCTACAAAAAAGTAGGGTTTGGGAGTTTAAGGTAGGAGGGGTCCTCTTTGTGGAGCAGAGCGCGCACTGCTTGTTCTGTTCGCTCCTCGGCCCTGCACCCATCCTTCAAGCGCATTCGAGGCACCGTTGCATTTGCATGGTCTCTGCATGACAGCGATCGGGGCGATGAAAAAAGAGTTGGCAGTCGCAACTACAGTGAACCAGGCTACCAGCAACATTTATCACTGGCGACGGTGATGTGATGCGCTGTGCTGTGTTGTGTGGTGTCGTGATTTGAGGAAGGCAGGGAAGATAGTCGCTAACATGATCACTGCCTTCAACTCAAAGCACTAGGTCACAGGGATAGCAATGCATGGAACAAGACCCGGGCCCTTAGTTTCCCATGAAATCAATCTGGGCTGGAGGAAACGAGTCTTGCGCGACCTCTTCTGGTTGCGTCTGCGAGTCGGACGAGATAAGCTGTAACAACCCGGACCCTGGGGGGAAGGGGCAGCAAGTGTGTTGGATCTTGTGTTTGGGTTCAGCGTGTAGGGGTCATGTTGTATCGTTATCTACGCGCGCACCTGGGTATTCGTGGCGGTAGTATTGTCAAGCCGATACCTGTGAAGCTTATAGTAGAACCCTCGACCGAGTCCTCCAACGAATTTCTGTTCATGCCTTTGTAAAGCTTCGGATAATGTAGGAACCTGTTTAAGAAACCCTGGTGGGGTCTTATTTTACGAGTCCTAATATAATAGGGTTATAGTCCCATGGTCCCTTAATCAGGTTCATGAATCCTAATATAATTGGGGTTATAGTCCCATGGTCTCTTAATCCGGTTCATACGGTTCATACACGAGGAAGGTAACATAGGAGTATAATATACCCCCAAAGCCTGTTCTAATTATTAAGGCCCCTGAAGGCAAGCGATGAAACATGAAACACGTTTCACTCTTTTTGAGGACCCCAAAAGCTTGTTCTAATTATTAAGGCCCTTGAAGGCAATCGATGCAACAAGTTTCACTCTTTGTGCGGACCCCAAAAGCCTGTTCTAATTATTAAGGCCCCTGAAGGCAAGCGATGAAACACGTTTCACTCTTTTTGAGGACCCCAAAAGCTTGTTCTAATTATCAAGGCCCTTCAAGGCAAACCCTAAACCCTATTAAACCCTAAACCCCTAGGGAAGGCTCCCTTTGGCCACAGTGCCCTGTAGGCCGCCCCATCCATCCATCCATCCTAAACCCTAAACCCTAAACCCTAGTAAACCCTAAACCCTATTAAACCCTAAACTCTAAACCCTAAACCCTAAACCCTAAACCTTAAACCCTACTAAACCCTAAACCCTAAACCCTATTAAACCCTATTAAACCCTAAACCCTATTAAACCCTAAACCCTAAACCCTAGTAAACCCTAGTAAACCCTAGTAAACCCTAAACCCTAAACCTTCACTCTTTGTGAGGACACCGGCCTGGCTGAGTGTTACCCATCAGCTCCTCGGCTGCCCAGGCGCAAAGCAAAGAGGCCATGGAAGCTAAGGTTTAGGGGCCTTAGTAATTACCTCTGCTATTTT